TATTACTTTGGTTTCATTAATTCTACAGCATTTAGTGTCATTTGCTTAGGTTTAAGTTTATTACTTACAGATCAAAATTTATTCTGCAATTTGCTATACACAGTACTCTAAGAGTGAATAGACAGTTATTTGTAGCCTATCCAATCATATAGCGAAACTACAGACACTTTTCATATGGCCGAAAGCTGCACAGATTTTGTCATATATTGGCGTTTGTTCGGATTAGGTTCTATTTGTCCATGACCAGCCGGATGGATACACCGTGTGCCGTAAAACAATTTTAGGGTGTCAGCGACACCTAAACGTAGATTCTAAGCTACAAAGTATTGGAAAAAGTAATTTACTAAAACAATAATTTTTCCTTTTCTTTGTATGCGGAACAGCCAATACTAGGTTTTGTTCCAAATTTGCTACTTAAGGTAGAAGCCTTACAACGCTACGTAAGTACCAGCAAAGGTGGCTCAACTGATGTCACTGCAGTTCCTCTCACCGGGAGGTCTTAGGGTTCGAATCCCGTCGGTAGCAGGGTTTTCGTCATTAGCAAAACAGCTTAGTCAAATTCAACTTCTGTCTGTAGAAAACTTCCAGCTGCCAGCTGCTCTAAATGGAAGTTTTCCGTGGTTTCTCCGATGAACCAGGCGAATGCCGGAGCAGTACCCTAACAAACGGGTCACGGACCGCGCGCAATCTTTCCTTTCACTTCCTCGTCCTTCCCTACCCCCATACACATACACTCGCATACACTACACTACCACACTTGAAGGGAGACCATTCGGTGGCCTAGAGAATGTCTCCGCTAGGCCGGCTCACTGCAAATGGGCAATAGGTACCTTGTTGAGGTACCCTACTACCCGACAGGTAGGTCGGCGCGGGTTCTTACCACCCAGCGGCGGACGATCACCACCATCCCCAGGGACAAAAACCATGCCCTACACTTACGGGACTAATGACCTTAGCAGTCGTCACGCATGGGCAAATCAATCAAGCTACTAAGTTCAGCTTAGGCGAGAAATTAAAAATTACGCCTAGCGCCCTTCCCTGCTCATGCATGACTCGTAATGTCAAATTTTATCAAAACATCCATACATCGATATTTCAATACATCACCAAAAGGTTTTCGATGTCAACGATATAAATATATCGATTAATAATATGATAAAACAAATGGTATTATCCCATCCTGTTTTCCTTTTATATTAGAGTTTCTTAAATAAAATACCAGTATATATATATATATATATATATATATATATATATATATATATATATATATATATTATCGTTTGGTCACGTATAAGTAATATGTTAATTATACTTATCGAACGTAAAAGAATTGTCAACCTGTTTTGCTATTATTGCATTTTTTCTCTTTTATTCACGATTTATTGAAATAGAATATCTTATATCTAATATAAATAATACGTAACTATTATATTAAAGTATATTCTGTAGCCGGTCCCGATGGCCGAGGTCGTTAAGACGGTAGTTTTGTAGCGATCTTGCCACTGATACACACTGAGACACACTGTCATCTTCATTTTCTGATCAATATTCTATGCAGACAGGTCCAAAATACGATTTAACCATATTACCACGAACAAAATCATCAAAAAACATTTTTTGAAAACATCGTTGTTTCTGAAAAATACACCAAACTAAAAACATTGGAAAAAGAACATCAACATACATATATGTTTCTATTAAAAAATATCGATGTTTTAAAACATCCAAGTTTTTTTGCCATACCTTCGCGTGGCCTCATTCGAGACTACTGTGAGGCGAGAGTGGTGGGATGGTGCGGGGGGGGGGGCGTGAGGGACAGCGCGTGGGAGATAAGATGACGGCTGACGCTCGCGCCGCTTGCTGTCCACCGCACATGCGCGCACGAGCGAGTCCCGATTTACTCGCCTACTCTTGACCAACTATTTAGGTTGATTGATTATTTCGAATATCGCGTCAACTGATATGGTCATTAGTCACGTACGTGTACTGTACGTGTTTATCGTGGAAGATAACAGTGTTCTTTCACAGCGTTGAAGTTCATTGATACGTGATTCTAGGCATGACACCTGCTAATGTCATTAGTCCCGTAGGTGTAGTGCATCTTCCATCGTAGGAGTTGGCGGATGACTCCCTCGCTGGATGGCGAGTTCCAGCGCCAACCTACCGTCGGCTACCGGGGTTTTCCCCAACCAGGTATCTCTCAAAAGCGGTGCATCGCCCCAGTCGGGACAAGCTCTAAACTCTCGACTAATCTCTTTCGGCGTGTGTGGTGGTGTAGTGCATGTAAGTGTAAGTGAGTGTACGTAACGGGTGATGATGGGACAATTGAGAGGAAGGAAATATAGCGCACGGTCGATGGCTCGTTTGTTAGGGTACTGCTCCGGCATTCGCCTGGTGTTGATAGGAGAAACCACGGAATTACCGATAGGAGCAGCCGGCCGCTAGAATTATTCTGCAGAGAGCGGCTGAATCCGTCCCAGCTGTCTACCTAGCGACGAAAATCCTCCACCGTCGCGATTCCAAACGGAGATCCTTCTAGCCAGAGACACCACAGTGACGTCAGTTGATACCCTGAACTACGTAAGCGGGTCGTCCGAACGATTGCGGAGTTTTATGAACCGCGCTCAGCGACATGCGAGGCAGCAAAGCCACTTATCGCACGCGAGTCTACGCTAAAACTCCGAAACAGTTCGTCAAAAGGAATCGAGTCTAAGGCGGCGGTCACGGGGCAGACGAAAGTTCTGGCCGAAATTTCGGTCGGCCGACGTCGGACGTTTTCGTCGTCTGCGCCGAAACACGTGCAGGTGAACGAAAACGGGTAAGAAGATTTCGAACGTTTTATTCCGCCGGCGCGGCGTCCCGAAACAGAAGAGTGTCGGATGAAGATGTATTTGGTTTGGTTCTGTCGGTTCCATTCGACTTAAATCAGCTGGAGAGTCAAGGCCATATGCTATACCAAACCAATGTAGCTACAATATATGCAGATGATCTTGAAAGGGCTTTTCGGTTGTTGGAAAGTCGTTTACGAGAATGTTCGTTGAAAACCGTAATTTGATCTGAGAAATTAAGGAAACGTTAGGACGATTTCGTGTGCAACATACGGGTATTTTTAGATGAAATGTAGGAGATGTTGTTCCCAGTCTGTTGGTGGCGAAGGATCGATCTACGTGTTGAACGTTTGCCTACATACAGTACGTATTTAATATTAAGTATCCGAACCCTTGAAATTACATTGTCCAAAAGGAAGATCTGTAGATAAGTTACAACATTAAAAAATGAAACATGTGCATTTTATGGAATACTGAAAAACACAGAAAAAGTAATTTTGTGATGTTCAGTACTTCTACTCCAATACGGATAGAATGAATGAGATTTGCAGATTCAGGAACAATAATTTCACTATTCACAGCAATAAACGTTTTTCTTAAGAAAATTTGCTGTTTTCCGACATAATATTGCATAACTTTCTCTCCTTATGAGGTAACTTCTTAAGATTATTAAGAGCGAGAAAGTAAACTAATGATGCTACCTCAGCACATACTTTATCGCATAATTTCTAATTTACAATTTTCGAATAGTTAGAGTTTAACAAAAATGAGGCCTGTGCCATTCTCTTAAGCTCTTTCTTCTATCCGTAGAAATGAAAATTATAGAAACAATTTGGTGTGGTTATAGATAATTTTTTATCAATTTCATTAATTTCTAGCACAAATTAGGCCAAAACTACTCGTTTTATAAAAAAAAATGAACGAGACTTTTTTCAGTAGCTGATTTTTTACAACAGTCCTTAAGCAAAAATCTCTTTCTTCATTATTGTTTTTTCACAAGTCAACCTTTTGTTATTTTCGAAAATACGGAGAGTTACCGGAAAATGGAACTAGCACCATACTTTTACCGGCCCTTGATACATACGAGGAGAAAGTTCAAAGAAAACGTTTGGAGTGGTTTTTGAGAAAAAAATAATAAAACATATTTGAATTGCTTGTATTTCGAGCAAAATTACACGAAAACTACTCGTAATTTCGAAATATTGAACATAATAGTACTTTAAGTTCTGTCTTTATAGTACCAATTTCATTAAGGGAAAATGTCGATCTTCAATATTGTAGTAGTAGGAAGTCGTCCCCCCCAAAAAATCACTTTTACAATGTTCGAAATATCGGGGATTTCAAGGAACATGTGAAGTGCACCATTCTTTGAAGAATTCTTTACGCTATCTAAGGCAAAAGTTAAATAACAAACATTCGGAGCCATTTTTGAGAACATTTTGAATATATTATAATATGTAAGGATATATAAGAACGGTATTTATCCACTTTTTGATATGAGGACCTGACAATAACAGTTTTCTGTCGAAAATTCGTCGTTTCCTGGCGCACGATTACAATACTTTCTCTTCTAACATTCGTAAGGGCGAAAAAGTAAAAAGAGGTATACAAAATATTGTCGTAGGCTTCCGATGGAAGTTATGTGCATGCTCTTGATTATCTACATGGCGACATGTTGACTATTTTTACGGCTGAGCTTTTAATGAAATGCTTTTCTTGATAGGTCGCTTGAAATACAATATCATTAGCAACTAGAATTAGTCGTACTGAAAAACGCGGAATGTAAATTTTATTTCTTCAATATTTCAATGATTGATTTATGATTCCGAGAACGTCAACTGCTAATGATACTGGTGCCGCAAGTGTAATGCATGTATTTCCTTCTGAAGGTGGCGGTAATCTTTCTCCGTGGATGGCGAGATCCAGTGCTGACCTACCGTCGGCTAGCGGGGTTTTCCTAAACCAGGTATCTCCCACCAGCGGGCCACCGTCGCAGCCGGGACAAGCTCTAAGCTCCCTACCGGTCTGCCGGCCTGTGTGTTACGTAGTGCATGCAAGTGTAAGTGTGGGTAAAAAGGGGTAAGCAGAGGACAAAGAAGAGAAATAAAAGTTTGCGCGCGGTCCGTGGCCCGTTTGTTAGACTTGTGGACGCATGTTATTTTGTATTACTTCCCACGCCAAAAGTTCTTTTCCGCCTTTTCAATAAAAGATTATGAAAGTATTTTTGTTTTTTAATAAATTGATAATTGCGTAAAATTTTGAGGCAATTCGGTGTTCATTGCCTGAATGTCTCTTACAAGACGCACTGTAAATTGTGTTTCCTAATCCACAACTACACTACTATACATCATCCTGAGAAAAAAACTCCCAAAGTCTGCTTCTTGGATTTCTATGACATTCAATATCTGGTACATCTTATTCAATATCCACATCAAGATGGCACCAACACCTGGCTGGGACGGAGTTTCCTGCGTTCCCACGCTTTTTATATCCCCTTGGGCGCTCCGTTCCTCTTGCCGCTTTGAAAAAGACAGATCAGATGCTAACTCGTGATTTGTCACGTGTAATATGAGTCACAGATTCAGGGTCAGATAGAGAAGACGCAACCCTCGGCTGACACGTAACAAAAGGAAGAAAAAGCTTTCGGAGTCCCCCAGGGTCCTCAGATCTCACAGTTTTCCTCCGCGACGGCCTTCTCCTGGAGCAGCCAGTTCTTTTGTGCGTGGATATTTCGAAAACTTCCATTGTACGGCCATGTCGAGGTAGGCAGTAAGGGAATTGTGCTTGAAGGAAAATGTCTGGCAACGTAAGAGGTTACTAAATTTAAGCAGAAACGTTTTCGAATAAAGATTCCTGCAAGTTGACTTGAAAAGTATAACTAAAAATTAGAATTTTAGGTACTGCACGTTAACTACTTCCTGTTTTAAAGTGCCTAGATGATTTTGTCTTGCAAATATAAGATGAAATGGACTCCTAACTGCGCTTTAGTAGCAACGTTTCGCACTTACTTCAGTGCAAGCATCTTTTTGCATTTTTTCTAGACATTTCAATTTTTGCACTATTTAGTTTTTTAACTTAATTTTTAGTATTTCATTCTTATAATAATATGGACTACTATTGAAATAACAGAAGTTCCGCTTCCAACTTTCCATTTCTCACTAGATAAGATTCTTAGATAAGAGTTCATAATTAAAATTAATTTTCAACATATTAGTTTTGCCTGGCACGTCAATTCTGAGGAGAAGAAAGCTACATGACAAATTGTCGATTAAGATACTTCTTAATTTTGTGTTTCTTTTCAAAATTGTTTAATTATTTTCATTATGATGAATAAAGTAAATGGAAAGAGAATATAGTAATTCACAGCATTTAACAGTATACAAGAAGGTGCATTGAAATCATAAAAAAAATTGTTTTTCAGATTTCTTCCAAAATATCCCAGAAGAAACTGACTAAGTATTGTGCCAATCGATTTGTCTGATCAAGAGGAATGGAATGAGATACATATTACCCCTTTATGTATCATACGTCGTGTTTGAATAGGTTAAAGTACACACACACACTCACACTCACACACATAATACGCATAAATTCTCGTCAAGAGACCGAGATGCATCGCATGAAACTTTCTTCTTATTTCTTATCTCTCGATTCTTTGACTAAACGCACGCGTAAAAGCTACTCTATTACTTAATAAGGATATAAAATAAAAATAAAGTAGTAGTACTAAAGCAGCACATACCTACTCGACAGTATTTTTACGTAAAATTATGCGAAAAACACTCACACTTTCGAAAAGTATACACGACTTCATTTGAAAATATTTTTAAGTAACAGATTTCATGAAGGTGGAAAATCTCTATCTTTAATATTTTAGTTGTAGGGATATATCGAAAAGTTATGAACTTTTGCAATTTTCGAAAAATTATGGTTTTAACAAAAATGAGACCTGCACCATTCTCATAACCTCATTCACACCATTCAAAAACGTTTTAATAAAATAAATTAGTTTTCTCTTTGAAAATTTGGAAAATGTTCCAGAGGCTTCCTGTAAAGTATCTCCTCCTAAATCAAAATATCGGTTTCAAATTCAAGGGGCCGCTACATCAGCCAAGTTGATTGGGAATATCAGTTTTGGAGAAAATCTGCTGAACGGTTTAGCCGCCAGAGTCGTTCACAGGCGAACGTTTTACCGTCATTCAATTTTTCGTCATGAAGTACCCACAAAACATTGAATGTGGCTACACCACTTTTAAGATGATTCCCACCTTCCAATTTAAGCAACTAGAGTTATCACTTTTTCGTTACTACGGCCCTGTAATGACAGTTTTCTTGCTGAAAAATTCGTCGTATGTCCGGGCTCTGGTGACTGGACAGAATGCTAACAGAATTTCAACTCTCGGTCGACGCAAAGGTACTGTGGTATCAGTTAAAAATGTGTGTAACGTGATATGGAGAGAAGTTAGATTGAAGTTACATTTATGTACAGAAGCAAAACAGGAGGCCATCTCACCATTTGCTCAAGGATCAGGGAAACTGGACGAAAATCTATTCGAGATGGGGGTCATTGGTCCAGAAGCTGAAGTACAATACTTGTTACACGTTATGTAGAATTATACAATCCAAATGGTAAATAGTACATTAAATGTCATTGTTAATATTAATATTAATATTACTTTCCTTTTGGATGCTAGATATAGTCTCTAATTGTATAGCAACAGTTGTGGAGCATAAAATATTTTACATAGGACTTCAACTTTTGTACCGAATTTAATCATTTAATGTCATCTGGCAAGGTGTTGTAAAATAATGTACATGTATTATATGTGATTTTTTTGTAGCGAGATGTTGATACTGTTACCTGATGAATATGATTTCTTCATCGAGTGTTGTAGTTATAGATATCAGCGTTTGCTGAAAATATATTCCGGCTCTTAAGTAGGTCGTTTTTCCCAAAGCCACTGATTCATATATCAAGAGACAAGGTAGTGGTAAGATACCAAGATTAACAAAGAGATGCTTACAAGAATCACGTGGGTGGAATTTGCTTATTATTCGTACAATTATTTTTTGTAAGCTAAAAGTCTGAGACCTACAAGATGTATTTCCCCAGAATATTATGCCATATCTCAGGCGAGAATGAATATTCGCGAAATATTCACGAGCAGTATCGTACAGAAACGAGCAGTATCGAGATCGTATAAAAAAAATATTACAGAGCATTTACAGCAGATATTTTCATAGTATATACCCACTGTTATAGCTATTAAAATATCTAGAAATGTTATGAGTGTTATTACTACCGATGCGAAAAGTTAAAAATCAAACCGAGGTTTGTAATTTGGTTGAGGCAGTAATAACACTAACATTTCGTGGTGTATTTAACGTTTTATTGGACACCATAAAATCTCAATATTTTTGAGAAAATTTACAACATTACTGCGATATTAAACACGAATTCTGTTGTTGTGGCACGATAATCAATATTTTGGGTATTGCTTGCGATATATCTATTTCAACAATTCACTTGTATACCGTGGTTTGAGGAATATGGATGTCTGTATCTCAAGAATTTACCAAATATTAATTTTTCAAACTGCACAGTTAATAACATTATAGTTAATAATGAACATCACCCAAAAAATGCGTTACTTTGATTACTATTTGTCTTGTAAATTATTGTGTGAGTTTTTCGTAATAATGTTGACTTGCGATGAATGGGTGGTTGTTTATTTAGGTTACTAAGGATGTTAAAACACGTTTCTAAGGTTTATAAATTTCTTAACTTACTTAACCACTTAACAAACTTATAGGGTTGCATGTTTACAATGGTTAAAGACGCATGAGACCGACAAAAAATTTAAAACTTTCCCATAATATGGCTACTGTCTATGATAATTCCTGTAGTTTGTAATGCACTCTGTATGTTTTCGGTTGTAGGAGACTTGATTATATATTATTATTATTATTATTATTATTATTATTATTATTATTATTCACAGTTTTTACTGGTCGATATGTCAACCACTCACACGAATGATGACCGGGTGTGGGGTTGGTTTATTGAAGATTCAGGTGGCTTCTAATAATACGCCATGTATTCAAGATGACTCACTTTTGAATGTTGTCTATATTCCTGGCATCCAAGTCGAGACACTCTAGTGTTCGAAGTGTCATTTTCGAGCTCAGTCCTGTGGCAGACATTATTATCGGCACCGTTGTCACTTTACTGGAGTTCCACTCAGCTGTGACTTCATGAAAAATTATAATAATAATAATAATAACAATAATAATAATAATAATTGTCGTTGTTGTTGTTAAATCACATATGGGCAGATGGAATTTTGGTAATGACGAAGCGATAAGAAATCATTATGAAGAGTTTCGTGCCCACCATTGGAAATAAATCCGACCCTAAAACGGCAAACCCAAACAACAAACAGAGAATTTATAATGCTGGAATATTGTTGGCACCTTGAGGGAATGCTTAAGGTATACAGCTTATTTGTAGAGGAACGAGCTGCAAGCGGAAGGAGGCAGGCGCTGGTACTCACGTCTTGGTCTCGTGCGCGAAGAGGAACTCGGAGACCAGCAGCTCCGCCGGCAGCTCGTCCCCGTCGCCTCGCGAGGCGCCAGCCCCGGGGCCGAGGGCGCGCGCGGGCGGCGGCGGTGGCTCGGCCGCCACGCCCACTCGCGCCGCGCCCCGCGACGCCGACGGCGACGCCGACGGCGGCGGCGGCGGCGGCAGCAGCAGCACCAGCGCAGCCAGCGCCAGCGCCAGCGCTCCGCCCCCGCGCATGCTGCGCCAACGCCTGCGCCAACCGTCACAAGCGCCAGCGTTAGGGGGACATGGAAAGCCCTTCCTTGCAATGTGAAATGTTTGAGTCTAATTCTCAGAAGCTATAACCTAAGCTAAGCTATATAAGGTAAGAGAGAACTTGATTCTTAGGTTAATGATGGACGGTTCTTCAGGGCCAGTGCCATCTCTCTGCCTCCGCGCATGATGCACCAACGCCTGCGCCAACCGCCACAAGCGCTGGCGGTAGAGGGGGTATGGAAAGCGCTTTCCTTGCAATGTAAAATATTTGAGACATTAGCCCTACGTGGTGGTTGGATAGTTGTTCAGCGCCATCGCTTCGCCTTCACGCAACGCCTGCTGCGCCAATGCTTGCGCCAACAGCCACAAGCGCTGGCGTTGGAGGGGGGTATGGAAAGCCCTGTCCTTGCAATGTGAAATGTTTGAGTCTCATTCTCAGAAGCTATTGACGTTATATTAATGAAGGACGGTTTTTCAGAGCCAACGCCATCTCTCTGCCTACGCGCACGATACGCCAACGCCTACGCCAACAGCCACAAGCGCCAGCGTTAGGGGGACATGGAAAGCCCTTCCTTGCAACGAAAAATATTTGAGACGTTAGCCCTATGGATGATTGTTCAGCGCCATCGCTTCGCCCCCACGCAACGCCTGCTGCGCCAACGCCTGCGCCAACCGCCACAAGCGCTAGCGTTTGGGGGGGGGGGAGGTATGGAAAGCCCTTCCTTGCAATGTGAAATGTTTGAGTCTCATTCTCAGAAGCTATTGACGTTATGTTAATGATGGACGGTTTTTCAGAGCCGGCGCCATCTCTCTGCCTCCGCGCATGATGCGCCAACGCCTGCGCCAAACGCCACAATGGCAGGCGTTAGCGGGACATGGATGTTAAACGTTTGAGTCTAATAATCAGAATCTATTGACGTTAGGCTTATGATGTTTGGTGGGATTGTTGCACAGAGCCAGCGCCATATCTCCGCCCTCGCGAAAGCTGCGCCAATGTCTGCCCCAACGCCTGTGTCACAAGTATAAGCGCTGGCGTTAATTACATGCAGCACTTTACCGTTTTGCGATCTGCGGACACACGCGGTGTTCCGTAATGCGATGGGTAGATTGGATTGTTCGATTAATTTGATATTTCGTGATTCTGTGAGCTTCAATTACTAGGTAAGAGGTAATCTTCCATGCAGAATTTCCTTAACGACCTACACGTCGGCATGCGGCATCTACGTATTCCCTACCAGCTGGGCACTGTTGTTCCTACCATCTGGGACAAATTCCTACCAGACAGGTCATGCTATAAGCATGCGAATGATCTCAAGGTTGATTGATTGATTTGTGATTGCGGTCCACTACCAATATCATTATTCCCGTAAGTGAAGTGCACGTTGTTTGCTCGGGAGGTGGCTGTAATTTCCCCCCGTTAAATGGCGAGATCCGGCGCTGACTTACCGTCGGCTAATGGGGTTTTCCCAAACCAGATATCTCCCACTGAGTGTAGCGTCAGTCAGGACAAGTTGTTAGCTCTCGAGCGGTCTCCCGACAAATGTGGCTGCGTAGATCATGTGAGTGTCTGAATGTAAGTAAGAGGTGAGGATATACAAGAAAAGGAAGGAAAGATAGCGCGCGATCTTAGGCTCGTTTGCTAGTGCATTGCTCCAGCATTCGCCTGGTGATGATTGGATGAATCACAGAAAACTACCGATCAGAGCAACCGTTCACTAGGTTTCTCTTTCAGCAACGTCTAACGTCTCTTCAATAACGTCTCTTCAGCAACTTAACGTAGCTAAGTAGTTAATGTCGAAAATTCCGCCACCAACGGAATTCAAAACCTAGGATCCCAGTCAGAGGCCCTACAGTGTCATCGATTGAAACCCTCAGCCATCTACGCTGATCGTCCATAAATTACGTACTGCTAAACCCGGGGAAAGGAGTTTAAGGCAACATTACACTGCGTCACATAAAGGTAGGGGGCGTTAGCTTAGTATTAGGTAATTAATTTGTTTTCAACACTTGCTGAAATAATTCCTTTCTTTCAGTCTTATACTAAAAAAATCAAATATTAACTAATTAATTGTATTTTAAAAGACAAATAAAGTGATTTATGTAAATTGATACAATAAATGGAAATATTGTCATTAATATCTGATTGAATCTGAAGGATTATGCAGAAAATATTCAAACCTAATATACACTTTAGAATCCTATAAATTGGTTTTATGTGGTACTCGGCCATTGCGAGTCGCAGACGCATAGGTGAATAGTTCTCTCAATATCTTATGTAAATTATCGAAATTATAATATAATATTAGAAACGCTGCGGAGAGTATGTTCGACATTCAATTCTGCAATGTTGCACCGTTATGAAGGAATGCTCTAAAAGAAGAATAAAATACTTAACGTATGCGGCTCGCAAGAAGTTCAGTTTAACAGTTAAGCGCGGCTGCTTGAGGTATCTTTGAAAGTATTATGGGATATTACATCTGCTAAAAATTACGTACCGGAGCACACATAAATGTATATGTATGACCGATTAAATTGTTGGAAAAAAAAGGTCAATCAAACATTTTGAAAATAATGCCCACAAAACAGTACATACGTATTGTAAAACAAACCAAAATAAATTTCCTATGAACGTAATAGTTTTGACTTTTCAGATACTACTAAATTATATACAAAAAACAAAACAAAAAAAGAAACATATGTAACTGTCTACCTGCCAGCAAAGTATGAATTTTGAACATCTTAGTGTAATATTATATTATAATTCAACCATGACTTAATAGATCATTTACACAAACTAAAAAACTATTAGAATTTCCTATTTAAGACATTTTATGAAGCAAATTAACTTAAAAATATTAATTTTGTTGTAATAAATTCAACATTTTTATACGGAAATATATTTTTTCATTGGTACGTCTTGAATGCTACTCACCAATATTGAAGATGTTTCGAAGATAGCCCACTTCCCTTAACATTTTATATCCGGTTGAAACTTTTGCATATCTCACAAAAACAGATTTTAAAAGTTATGATTACTTATTAATTATTTATGTAACATGTGTAACCCGGAGATTTGAGTGAAAACTCATTTTAGTGGCCTGCAGCAGGAAAAATGCTGCTATTATATGGAAAATGGCGGCAAAGAGCAGCACACATTATTCTTCGATTGTTTTAAAGTTGCCGATGACATTAGGTTAATTTTGTACCTCCTACCTTCTAATGAATATTTTTAATTAATTGGGGAACGTCCTTCTTAACGGTGCTCCTGGCGTCAGAAATGGGCTTACCACTGTTAAAAATGTATATTTTATAAGATAGGAGGTGTTACAATGACCTAATATTATCGGCCACTTTAAAAATATCAAAGCATAACTGCTCTGAAACGGCACACGTAAATAGCGAAGGTTAATTTTTCAGCTTGAGTTTTGGCGTTGGAGACGAATATGAGAATTTAGTCGTAACGTCAGGTATGCGATATTGTGAATTTGCATTATCAAATACTAGGATCATTCAATCAAAACCGAAATTGACTCGTTGCCTTTTGTATTTTTCATGAAATACTGGGTATCTAACTAAACCATCCACATCTGTTAATTGCCCACAACCTGTTTCGTTTTCCTTAAATTTCTGAGCGTATACGATTGACAATCGATTGACTGAGTATTGTTTCTGAACGGTCACTCCAATATAATTAGCGCCATAAGTGTAGTGCATGCTTTTATAACGGTGGAGGGTATTCTTACCCTGGTGGATGGGGATATCCGGAACCGACCTGAACGTTAGTTGCGGGGCTTTCCCACCCAGATATTTCCCACCAGCGGGCACTGCCGCACTCGGGACAATCTCTAAGCTGCCGTCTGGTCTCCTGATATCTTTGGTAGTGTTGGCCATGCAAGTTTTGTGCGTGTGTATGAGTGTGTGTGTGTGTGTGTGTGAGAGAGAGAGAGAAAGGGATGTGAAGATAGGTCAAGATAGAGGAAAAAGAGCCTTGCAAAGCCCCTGACCGGGAGGTCCTAGGTGCGAGCTGGATTATCAACACTAGATTTTCAGCTAAGTCGAATTCAGTCGCTGTCGGGAGAATTCTAGCGGCCCGGCTGCTCTGACCAGTAGTTTTTCGTGGTTTCTGCGATCAATACGACTTGAATGCCGGAGCAGTTCCGTGGCAAACGGGATGCAGACCGCGCGTGATCTATTCTTCCCATTCTTTGTCCTATCCTCGCCCCTCACACACGCACACACACACACATACATACAAACACAGACTTACATATACTACACTACAATACATGCCGGGAGAGCGGTCGGGGACTTAGAGCGTGTCTCGGATGCATGATGTCCCTCTGGAAGGAGATACCTAGATTGGGGAATACCCTGAGTCAGCCGGTGGGTCGCTGCCGGATCTCGTCATCCAGTGGGACAAGATCACCGTTCCCTGCCGAAGAAAACAAAATCGTGCACTACACTTACGGGACAAATAACCTTGCCCGTTTTCGTGCCAGGAATCATTAGTAGTAAATCAAGGTAATTGCGTGTAAAGAAATATTTTGCTCGCTTTGTGAGGGGTTTTGCTCCACTGTGGCGCGCCGCCTGCTCGCCGGCTGTCCCGCCCAGCGCCTCGAGCAAGGAGTTCGCTCATCGACAGCTGACAGCTCCGCGCCTGACAAATGCACGGCGCGAGCACCGCGGCGGCGGCGGCGGCGGCGGCGGCGGCGGCGGGGCGGCGGCGGCGGCACCGGCGGAAGCGGCGAGGGAGGCGGCACTCGCGGCGGTGGTGCGGCAGTGGAGGAGGCAGACGCGCGGCGATGGAAGTCGCGGTGGAGGCCGGCAGACACAGAGGCGGTGGAGGGCGGCGGTGAAGGCAGCGGTGGCGGCGGTGGTGGTGGCACACACCGTCGGCGGTGAAGTAGCGCTGGAGCAGTGGGGGAGGCAGCGTTGGGGCGGCAGATACAGCGGCGTGGCAGGCAGTGGTGGCAGGCGGCGGT